GTAACAGGCAAAATAATTGTTCTATGATGACAACATGCTATTGTGTTGTGGTAGGTCAGAATGCATTGCTGTAACACAATGGTTGGAAGCAGCAATGTGGGCACATCTCGATGCCCTGACTTGCTATTTGGAAAACATGCATTATTGTGAAGCTGTCGTATAGAAGATGAACTTTTATTAAGTATTAATGCAATCACATTGCTGGAGGTGTTGAAGATCTACAGCTTTTGTGCCCCCAAAACAGTACACCTCTACTTCTTCTGGTATACTTTTACTTTTGTAGGGCAAAGACGCAGCCTTACCACGCGGCTCATGCTGCAACAGGCTGAAATAAATATTGGTCTTGAAGGACACTCAAAAGACTTTAATTCACATGCAAGAAGAAACATGCCTGAATTTACTTGTGGTAAGCTTGAGCATCTTTTTAAACGTGGATTGTATTATTCCATCACCTGGATGGTCAAATTGTTATCAGAAACTAGTGCAGCTGAAGATCAGAAAGCAATGTAGTTGGGTGGTTCAGGCAGGTTGATGACTGAACTTGGTGTAAGAGCAATTGTAGGCTCAGTTGATGTGTGTTTTGGAAATCTGGTGTTCTCCGTGGAGCTCCTGGTGCTTCTCTTTCATCGTTCACATGTACACTAGGACACATACGCTAGGAGCAGGTTTGGAAATAGGTTTCTGTGAGCTTCATTGGGATTGTCTAGTCTTAGATCCTGTGAGCTTGACATGCCTGCCATGACCAGTTTGAGACTGGAACTGTGTTAGCATCTGCAGTACTTCTGCATTTCACCTGAGTGGCTGATCTCGACCTGACGCACTTCCTTGCTGGCCATTCACCTTGGTATTTACTCTGATTCACTTTAAAAAGACAGCGTTTCCTCCCCACTATTTACCCATCCCAAAAGGAAGCAAAATGTATGTTGTTACAGCAAAATTTCTATTATGAGGCAGTGGCAGACCTTGCGTGCCCCCAGAGGTTGGCTTAAGCTTTTCTAGGAGGGGACAGCTATGCAGAGTGGTGAGGGGGCAGGATCTGGGTCAGTCAGCTCATGAAGACTGGAGAGTCCTTGAAATGTTTCCATTATGGCTTCTCTGGCTCATGTGGAGTTGGTCAAGAAGTGCAGCTGGAGAATGTTGTTGGCAGGGGAGGAAGAAAGTAGAGGACTGGGCCAAGGAGGGTGGGCTGGGTGAATAGCCCTGTGAAAACTTTTTCTCCTAATGGATTTCTCAAATGTACCAGCAGGCAGGCACAGGCAGGTGTCACGTCAAATGCTTTCCCTGTGAAACCTGATCCACCCCTCTCCGTCTGCTTTTCTCATTCTCTCTTTTCAAGGCCCCTTCTCTCGGTTGTTTAGCCCCCAGGAATGTGGCGTGCACTAAGGGACTGGGACTGGTAACTGGTTTAGCAGAGAAAAGCCCTGGGACAAAGTCCAGTTCCAGACTACTCTGTTTCCTACTATTTTCCAGTCTCTGTAACAACCGCTTTAATTTTCATGTGCAGAACTGCTTTTAGAAGCTGCTAGCTGTGTTCTGGTTTTAATACCATCCCCACCTCCACCATCTTTCACTAAGCAAACTAGGATGTAAGAACATCAGGCCATCACAGTAATCTAGTGGTTAACCAGCCTTTGGCTGTAGAGCATTTGACCCGGGCATGAATGCCATGTTTGGAGATGTTTGTTGTTCAAGCAACAGAAGGGTGTGACATGGTGATTATAGTCAGAAAAGTGGGCTCTGAAGAAGCCTCCTTCTTTTCATGTTCCATGTTATTTCTTCCCCCACTTGCTTCCAAGTGGGGAAGTCTTTCAAGTTCGTGAGTTGCAGTAAGAGTCTTGTTTTCCCTTCTGTTCCAAAATACTGTGGGTAAACCTATTGAATCCTGCACTCATCAGTCTAATCGTACTGTCTGGAGCGTTCCCATAGCCTTCATCATAATATCCAGGAGCTCAGTAGGTCGTTTAAGCTTTGTCCATGGTGGTTTTTATACCTCATCTAGTTCTTTGCTCTTCCCTGGTGTCTTTGTGCCCATCCCATGTAGTGTGGTGCTCTCAAACTATGCAATCATCATTATTGCTGAGAACATGCAGGGTGCAACAGAACCAAGTTTGTCTTCCACAGCTCCTGAAGTGTTAAAGGGTGCTGTCAAATTCCTAGCAAAGTGTGACAGAGCAGCGAAGACATAACCTGAAGATAAAACAGTCTACAGAGGGAAGATCTGGGTAGCGAATACTTCACCTATCTCCAGTACTTTCCCTCAGAGGATCTCAAAGCATCTCATGGCCACCAATGAATTAAGCCCCGCTGTGTGACATCTCTGGGATGTCATTATCCCCTTTTTGCTAAATCAAGACCATCTCCTGGTTCACAGAAAGAGGATAGTGTTTGGCTCACAAGGAGCAGATCAAAGGGATGTTGTTTTCTACCTATAATCATATTCTAAGTGTTCGTGATGCACAGTAATTCTCTTTCCTCCGTGTTCTCCATTCTGTGTACCCTCTTGGCAGGGACTAATCTCACGATGTTAAACCTGCTTGTTATAGCTTCCTGGTAGAGTGCTACCGTTATATTTGAAATGGCACCCTCTCTGTACCTCTTTTTTTTCATTTGCTTTTAAGTTTCTCAATAAGTTCCCTTCTCTGGCTAAAATATTTCCTGCCAAGACACTGCCAAGGAGTAATTTATTCACAAAGTCTCACGATGAGCTGTTTTTGGAGTTATTCAGTCATAGAGATTAAAAAAAAAAAAAAAAAGGCCAGTTCTATTAATTGCTGAGGGCAGCGCTTCAACACTTAATCTGTGCCAGGACCACAATAAAATGGAGGCTCTGACTCCAAGCCTAAGGTGGTGAAAGTTGTATACCATGGAGGGTTTAATCCTTGCACCAGAAAGATGACCCAAACTTGACTAATGTTCTGCACCAAGCCAGTCTCGTGTGCAGGGACATCAAAGTCCACACCTGCTGTGTTGGGGTGCTAGAAAATTGAATTGTTTACTATCATACAGTTCTTTGAGTTCCTAGACTACATGGGCCTGCTGTTCATGTATTCATACATGCATTTAATTACTGTATTTATTCAAATACAAGACAAGGTTCCCACCAGCCCCCAGCTGGCTTGGGGGGAAAAAGGGAAAAAAGCCCCTCATCTTGTAATCGCATACAGTGAAATATAACTAAATACACTGTCTATCACTAAACTGCTGCCAAAAGCAGCATGTGTTCAGCCATGGAAACCAACTCTGAAGTTGATTAAATGCAGCCAACACTGAGCATAGCTATAAAACACATGGTCCATATTAGGCAAACATGCTGATGGAAATCTTTATTTATTTATTGCATGACCCTTAAAAAAATGGGCAGTTGCTCCCCTGGAAGGGATCAAGCACCAGGCCTGGAGGTACTGAAGTACCAAACCAGCACCCAGTAAGGCCAAAACAAGCTCCAACACCCACTCTGGTGCCAAAAATGCTGATGGGAACTTACCACAGGGATAGGTTAGTGCAACCTATCTGAATAAGATGTATGGTAGTGCCTATTGAATGTAGCCCCCACCATGACATTGCATACAGTTCACCTAGAATCCCTCTGTTGGCCCTTCTCGGCCTGGCGTATATGATTAATGTGGCCCTGCCCTCCATGAGGTGAAGCCGGATTAGGTTCCCTGCACCTTATCTGCATGTATATTTTTGGAGCACCCCAGGATTTCTGACAAGAACACCCAGTTCCAGTTGTGAGTGGGGGCTAATTAGCACACATTATTTGGGGGTGGATCTGAAGTACACGTACATACTGAGCAGTGCTGAGCTATGGGGTCAAGGTGGCTTGAAATGCTGTGGAATCTGGGGCTTACCCTAGTTAACTATATGATAAATTACGAGCCTTTGGCTTTGGAGCAATATCATGCATAGGTTGTATTACATATAAGTAGGTGCCAAAGTGTCACTCAAAAATATGTTTATGGAGTACCTGTGCTGAAACTGCAGGAGTTTAAAAAAAATAAAATAAAAGGAACAGGCATCAATTCTGGATAAACTAAGTGCATAGGTAGTATATGCAAATTGCTACAGCCCTGTTTAATTTCAAGATTATTGTTTTTAAATTTGCTCCTTACTTCAGTGTGCTCAGGCAGAGCCGGGTCTGACAGTAGGAAGGGACTACCAGGGGAAAAGTTTGGGGTTGGTAGGAAGCAGAAAGTGAAGGCATATCTGACCCCCCAGATTTATTGTCCCTGCTGTAGCAGTGGGAGGGGGAAAAATTCAGGGCAAACCTCTAATAATTAGATTCTGTGTCTGTAAAATTATAACACATTTTATAAATTTTTAATATATAGAATCTAATTACTGGAGGGAGAGGGGTCTTATAATCAGAGTCATTTTCTATTCAAGTAAATATGGTAACTAGTTATCTGGGATAAATGAGGGAGAGGATTTATTGCATGTCACCTGTTCTTGTAGTCTCTCTCCTTGTGCCTGCTCTTACCCTGTGGTGAGTGCAATTTAATCCATTGTAACCTAGCCCTCAGTGAAACAGGGGGTGCATCTACATGAAGCACTTACTGTGCAGTAGCCTAATAACAGTGCTCATTAGCATGCTGGTCAAAAGCCATGCTAATAAGCTACTGCACAGTGACCGTCACAAAAAACTGTGCACCAGCACTACTGCATGGTAAATGTAGTTCCTGTGCATTCAGTTAATACTTCATTAAGGAAGTACTAAACTCATTGTGCAGTAACTACGGTGCATTAACGAACATGTAGACTTGCCCAGTGGTAAGCATTAATTTACTGCAGAGTAAAAGCATACACATAGTCAGTTACTGCAGAGCAGCTGATGCCCTGGTTTCTCTCAGTCACTTTTCTTATGCATTCATGTCCTTCATTCTCTTGTTCCCTATAGTATACTCTATTCCAATTTTAGTATTGGAAGGTTTGCTTAGTCCCGTTGAAACCTATGTTCTCTGCCTCACTACCGCATCTCACTGTTACCATCCTTTCAACAGATCTCAAAGACTTCAAATTTGATGGCCAGCATGTGATTGAAGTGGATGAAGGAAACACTGCCGTCATTGCTTGTGACCTGCCTGAAAGCCATCCAAAGGCCCTGGTGCGCTACAGTGTGAAACATGAGTGGCTAGAGTCCTCCAGAGGTACGATGCATTCAGGGACAAGGAGGTGGGATCCACCATTCTGTTTGTTTCTGTTTCAATGAGCTGTGCCCTCTTTTCACACCCTTTGGCAATGTATTAACTTTCCTTACAGATTATTGCAGTTGTGCAAGTTCCTATCCATGGCGTCCCTTTAATTCTCATCCATCAGAAACAGTGAGGTCCTGTGAAGTCTTGCCACCCATTCAGTTACAGTGGTCTGTTATTCACCAAGTGTTTGACCACAACACCTTGGCTTTTTCCTAAAGTGCTCAGGGCTCCATGATGGGCCCCCATTCATGTTTTTGTCTGGCCCAGGACTGCTTGGCTTCCAAGATCAAGCAAGCAGGTGTACTTAGTCTGGCACAACCACCTTCCTCCTTTGCCTGATATTTATTGTTACCCCAAGCCAGCTGCTGAGCACAGCTCCTTTGTACTGTGCCTAAGAATCCAGGATCAACGATGATTTACAAAAAGAAAAAGGAAACAGGATGAATTGAACATGTCCCAGTTTGGTTTTTATTCTGAATTATTCCTCCAGCATGTCTAGTGAGAGGGGGTGGGTCTGAACCCCAAGGGAGTTTTGCAAGCCAGAGCTGAACTCTTCTGGCTGAGTCCATCTGTCATCTGTATGTGCAGCAGTTTAACTTCCCGAGAGGCTTCATTCCCTTCCCAGTTCTTTCTTTTTTTGCTCTGGTTCCAAGATGGAGTAGGATAATTTCCAGGAGGATGGATTTTGTCACTGACCCATCCCCCTCTATTTCCCTCCTCCTTGCTTATCTTCCCCTCTGCCCTACCCCATCCTTTTGGGTATGTTGGGTATGCTCATGGCTAAAAGCCCTCTCTCTCTCTCTCTCTCTCTCTCTCTCTCTCTCTCTCTCTCTCTCTCTCTCTCTCTTTTCTTTCCTTCCAGACAACTACTTGATTATGCCATCTGGGAATCTTCAGATAGTCAATGCCAGTCAAGAAGATGAAGGAACTTACAAATGTGCTGCCTACAACCCTGTGACGCAAGAAGTGAAAACCTCTGTCTCCAGTGAGAGGCTCCGTGTGCGACGTAAGATGCCCCCTTTAAAAAAAGTGTGGTCCCTGGCCTCCCAGCTATCCCTTCTTTGCATAAACTTCCTTCATCCTGGTATTTCTTGACCTCTGAGGTTTTTTTGTCTGTTCAGCACCTGTGTTCTAGTATTGCAGTCTTTTTTTTTTTTTTTTTCATGGACTGGCAGTGTTAGGATCAGGCAAACTTACTTTAGTACTGTATTTTTGACCGCAGAAGGCTGTGCAGTCTATTCTCTGTGCTGCCCCTGCTGTCTGTGTCAGTGTAGACTAGGGAATCATTATTCCCTCTGAAAATATTTTGTCTTTGTTGACCTGGGAGCTAAGAGTCTGCACCCTTCTGCTAGATTGTATCTGCTGTGGATGGATTCCCTAGGATCAGCCATGTTTCTCAGCTTGGAGGGTGCCCCTGTCTGTCCTCTTGTCCAGAGAAATCAATCTGAGGTACTGCTACCTCAGGCAAGTACTCTCTTGTGTCCTCCCCAGGCTCCGTGGCAGAGGCAGCTCGGATAATCTACCCCACAGAGGCTCAGACCATCATCGTCACCAAGGGTCAAAGCCTCATCCTGGAATGCGTGGCCAGTGGGATCCCACCTCCACGGGTCACTTGGGCCAAGGATGGCTCCAATGTCTCTGGCTACAACAAGACCCGGTTCTTGCTCAGCAACCTCCTGATCGACACCACTAATGAGGAGGACTCTGGGACCTACAGCTGCATGGCGGACAATGGGGTGGGCGAGGCTGGAGCTGCATTCATATTCTACAATGTTCAGGTGTTCGGTGAGTCCTGCTGCAGCCTGCCGCCCCTCCCTCCTAGCAGAGCCTGGGCATTCCCTTGTTGCCTTTCTCAGAGGAAAGTGTTTCCCTGTCACACTATGTAAGTTGAGGTGAAACATTCCTCACTGGTGTCCACATCTGTGGATTGTCCAAGGGAACCCTGCATCCTCCATCCGAGGGCTCCACCATGAGCTAGATGAATGAGAGTTCCCCCAAGGGAGTCCCATCTCTTGTCATTTTATCTGTATCTAGCAGGGAGTTTTCTGAGGCGCCCCTTACTGTAGTATCTGGCACTGCCCAACATGGTGGAGACCTGAGCAGGTATTGGTGGAGTATTTTTCTCCCCAGTCTGCATAAGGAGGCTCCATATGGGGAGAGAAAAAGCTTTCAGAAGGGAAGTTTCAGGCACAGTAATGCAAAGTGTTTTTCTCTTCTGACAGGCATCATCTCAGACTTACCCCGGTTTCATTTTAACACAGTTTCATCCAGGAACCGATCTCTTAAAACTGCAGGGACCTCTTGGTAGCGGTGTTGGATTTTCCTCTGTGAAAAATGATAGGCAATTGTGTATTACTGCCTGATTGTGGACACTGTCCACACTCTCCAAGTGGTCTCATAGGGCTACTGAAGAGCAGGCTGGACAAGGGGGAGCTCTGTGCAGCCCTCAAGGGAAGAGGAGAACTTTGGTTGACTGAGGACCCATCATCCCTCTCTAATTCCTGCTTGAAGGGAATGAATTGGATCATAATCATGTTGCACTAGTGCTCATGCAAGAGCTAGCAGGGGCTTGTTGTTCACTGTTTTCTGCCCTACAGAACCTCCCGAGGTCACCATGGAGCTGTCCCAACAGATCATCCCCTGGGGTCAGAGCGCAAAGTTCACCTGCGAAGTGCGAGGGAACCCCCAGCCCTCAGTGATGTGGCTGCGCAATGCCATGCCCCTCTCTTCCAACCACCGGCTCCGGCTGTCCCGTAGGGCCCTTCGTGTGGTGAGCGTGGGGCCAGAAGATGATGGGATCTACCAGTGCATGGCTGAGAATGAAGTTGGTAGTGCACAAGCCATGGTGCAGCTGAGGACTGCTCGGCCAGGTGAGCCTTCAGAGGAATCTGCCAGCCCAGATGCTGGGGCTTTAAGTAAAGGAGCCAATGTACAAATCAGGTTCTGGAGCCCTGGAGAGCATAGAAGGGCAGTCACTCCTTGCTCATCCTGTTTGCATTTCAGCTGTCTTGCTCTTCTGGCACCTTCATCCCTGATTCACTGGGCATCCTCAGCTCCCTTTTTCTCACTGGAATCTCTGTTATCTCACAGGCTGTGTTCCTAAGTACTCCCTACTTCCCAAGATAGGAGTATGGGGCCCCACTGGGACTGTTGGTGGCAAGAGAGGTATTTCAGAGCTTGTATACGGCTCCCTTCTCCTGCATTTAGGCCCCTCTCCCAATAATGATGGGGCACACAGAAACAGAAGGTAGGATGTGGGGGGGAGGGTGTGAAGAGCTTGGTTTAAGCAGAATAAAATGTGAAACTTGGCCCTTGTTGGGTACAGGAGCAACTTACCACTGGGTGCAAGGGATAGGGATTTCTGTCACTGAGGGCTAAGCTGTGCCCAAATTAGCTTCAAGTTACTGCACAGTAAGAACATGCACATGGGTAGTTCCCACAGATCAATTAATGTGGTAAATCCTTGCCCCATTTTGCCTCATTGTAAGCTTTCAGAGTACCCACTCTGACATCTTTTGGCACAATTGGGCTTTTTGGGAGGGTCAGTTCTGCTCTCTGCCAGGGAAGGTGGGTAGTCCCTTACTACCTCTTGTGTCCACCAGTAATTTTCCAGTGGCATTTGTTCTGTGTCCTTGCTCCACTGCTCCATCCCCACTTGTCTTTTAGGAGCAACTCTGAATCCCTGGAGAGACTCCAAGCTGAGCTCAGCTCAGCCACCAACACCCACTTCTACTGACAATGATAAAGCCGCACCACCAAGGCCAGGGCCTACCCCACTGGCCGCTTCTCTCCAGTGCACAACTAACAGAGAACAAGTGTCTCCAGCAGAGGCCCCCATCATCCTGAGCTCTCCCAGGACGTCCAAGACAGATTGTTATGAGCTAGTTTGGAGACCCCGGCATGACAGCAGGGCCCCCATCCTCTACTATGTTGTGAAGCATCGCAAGGTACTGCCCTTTGCATTGCTCCTCCCGTAGACATGCATGCTTGTTTTCTCATATGAGGTTACTTGCTGTCCCTCTGCTTTTGTTACTAGGTTTACTGGATCTGACTGATCAAGTCGTGTGTGTCAAAGGCAGACTAGACAGAAAATCTCTGGCCTTATCTATAAGGTTAGCTTAATATGCCTAGCAGGGACACTCTCTGGGCAAACTGTCCCCTAACCCAGAAGGGTTACTTTTGAGGATCTGAGCCAGTGTCTTAAGCCCTAAATCAATAGGTCCAGTGGCCACTCTAAAATTTTGGGATGTTGTTGAGACAAATGTATTTATTTATTTTTTTAATTTACAAAGTTCTTGGAACTTTTTACAAAGTAGTTGGAAAATTGGGGATGTTTAAAAAAATTGTAAATGGGGGGGGGGGGGGGGGGTGGGGCAACTACAGTAGATGACTTTGATTTTTGCCTTCAGGTTACTATACACTGTGGTGTGTTTTGATTCACAGTCCTTGCAAAGGAAGGTTTTCAATTAAAACAGACACACGCACAGTTTCCTGGAATTGTTTAACTTCATGAAAACATTTTGCAATATAAAGCTTTATAATTCCTGCACACCTCCTTGATTTTTTTTTTTTTTTAAACAAAACTTAAATCTAGGGTTTAAGCTAACAGTCTCCTTAAACAACCAGTTAAAACAAAGAAGTAAGATGTCAACATGAGACTGTAGCAGACAAGTTAAGAATGCCACTGGAACATCAAGTCTACCCTTTCTGTCAGGACAAGATGCACCCCCTCCCACCCACAACCCCTTCTCCTCCCAACTTCGTATCATGTAACAAAACCAATTCTGCGTGTGATCTGAGCTTGCAAGCTGCAGTTTGTCCTCATTCTATGTGTTTTTTCAGCGCTTCACCTGGAAGGTCTGCAGGGCAGGGAGGGTCACCAAGGGTCACTGCCATTTGTGCTAATACATTTTCAGTGTAGTCCAAATTCTCAGCTGGAGACTCTTTCTCTTGTCTCTTTAGGTCCTTGCATATAGGGCTTAACACTTAGATTGCTGACATTTCCACACTGGGTGTTTGGAGACCCTAGTTTAAGCAAAACTAATATGAATAGAAATGTGGGGGTTTTTTGGTTTCCAGAGAAGTTTAAAAAAATTCTGTGTGCGGGGGAGAGACGGGTGGGAGAGAAGGAGGGAGAACATGCTCCACTCTGCTGAGAATCCACAGCCCGGCACTGCTTCCCCAGTGACCTGGCTTGCAGAGGTGCTTAATCCCTGTAGCTCCCCTTGACTTCAGTGAGACCTAGGTGCTGCGTGCTGCTGAGATCAGGCCCCCTGCTAGTTGAGGGTGAAACAGCCCAGCCTATTTTCACTGTCCAAACTGAAGGAAGTATCAAAAGTTAATAAACCCAAATAACGAAACAGAAAACAGATTGGAAAAATGCTTTGTCGTGTTAACTGCAGCTGCTACGGGCAATAAAGGAATTTCTAGGAGCAGCAGAATATTTTTTTTTTTTCTCTTGACAGCATCCCCACCCTTTCCCGCTCCAGCATGGACGGACAGTCACCCCCCATTAAGCAGCTCAGCTCCTACACAGTCATTATCCTTGTTTTTAATATCCTCTTCCACACACATACCCGCCCCTGCTTGCTCAAATGTAACAGCCTTTAGGGACTTCTTGCAGTCCCACAGACTTGGTAATAGAAATAAAGCCAGGGAGAAGTTAATCAGTCAGTGTCAAATATTCCAAAGATGAATTATATTGTGGAGTCTTGGCATTTCCGTTTCATCACATTGCCTGCACTGCCAATGCTCTTTTCTGTACAGGGTCACTTAGGTGTCCTGCTTGCGTGCCTGCAAAATATTATCCTTGCCATCAGGGAGGAGGGGAAAGAGGAAATCGCTTCCTCCGGTTTGGGGTACCCAGACCTTGCTGAAAAATGAAGCTGTGTTTCAAAGTCCTTTTGGAAGCCTTAGCCATACGCAGTAGCTTAATGTGGGGTGGGCGAGGTTGGGTATGTGCCTGGGGCACTGTCTAAGGGGAGGGGCACAAGGACAGGAAGGAGGGGACACCTCACCCTGGGTCTGCTTGCTGCAGCCTACCTCACTGCTGTCTGCCTTGCCTTGCCTTGCCTTGCGCTGCCAAAACTTACTGGATCCAAGAAACAGCTGGTGCAGGCAATGGGTGATATGGAGTGCAAAGCATTGTGGGAATCTAGTTCTGTAGAGTGGCAATGGGGTTTGCTGCTGCTGAGGGGAGAACTGACCCTATTCTTTGCTGCCAAATTCAGCAGATTTTTTTTACTTCTGTACATGGACTTCAGCAGCAAAAAAATTGGGTGAAAGTTTTGCCTGCCAGCAGCAAACTCCACTGCTGCTCTAAAGAACTGTGATTCCCAGAATACCTTGCACTCTCCCAGCCCTCTGCTCTGTTTCCGCACCTGGAGAAGGTGGCAGGGGGAGGGGTTGACCAGAGTGCATTTTTTCCATGCTGTGCCTCCAGCCGCATGCTGCCATATTCCGCAGAAAAAGCTGACAATCAAATATTAAGGTTGTACAACTCGGCCTTCAACAGTTAGGAAATAACCAAAACCAGGTCACAACCTTAACTCTGCTCCGTTGTTGCTAAGCAGATCAATGTCCTATTAAATTAGAGGACCACACCCTCTTCTTTATATTATACAGTGTAGCTTTAAATGACATAGATTGTCTTTAAGCCCCATACTAGCCACGGCAGGAGTTTTCTCCATAACTACAGGCTGGGATTTTCAGAGAAGCCCCAGGGAGTCTATGGGTGGCAGAGGTCTTTTGAGTTCATTTCTCCATTCACACACCAATGGAGTAATCAGCCACAGCTCATGTAGGGCTGGGAGGGGGACTCAGAATCCTATCTTCCTTGCTGGGTGGTGAATTTTAATGAGTAACAGTTGGTCAGTGTTGATGGGAACTCCCTACACTGGTAGGACAGGCAAGTTTAAGGCCCCATAATAGCAGTGGCTGGAGGAGGCACTCCCAGCATTTCACAGGCTGAGGATGACTTCCTTGCATGGTATTCAGTTACTTGATGGCAGAGGAGAAGCAAAAAGCTATATATGGAGCTTTGGTATCCACGGGGTGGTGGCAATGGAGATATATTCATTTCATAATATAAGAGATATGATGTTGGTTCTGAACTGGCTGGATTGTGACCTGCAAGCAGATAGCCATTCACATCAGTGCAAAGGGGCTGATCAGCTAAGAAAAGCAAAGCAACTTGCACAGCAGGAAATGGATGTAGCAGTCAGAAAAATGACTTGGGGCCAGACTTGCAAAGTGGGTGGCTACCTAATTCCTGTTCAAATGAAAGGGACCAGGTACTTGGAGCCTTTGAGAAGGTGGGCCTGAGGAGCCTAGATCCCATAGGAAGTCAAGAGGACATAGGCTTCTAATGCACTTAAGCACTTTTTGCAAATGGTACCCTGATTTTTTCCAGTGGGAGCTTGGTACAGGTTGTTTTCGCAGACACGTGGTGTAACCAGCCTCTTCAATCAGAGCAAACCAGTATTAATATTAAAAGTGAGAGGATAATAGAAAGAGAAACAAAAGTGAAGGCACCATGGGAGATCAGTGCATGGTCTGACTGTGTGCATTGTAATGATGACATGGGGCCAGATCCTATTAGGTGCCTAAGTGGATTTAGATACCTACATGCGATTCTAGTCTACATTGCTCACATCCCTAACAAATAGTTCATGCCAGGGGTGATCAAGTTCCTTTTCCTTCTTTTTGTGACTCAGTCCTGAGAGTAAAATGATGTGTGTTACAAAAGTAAGTGCATTCATGTGTTTTCAAGGACTTGAGGAGGGTGGAATAGGATCCCAAATAGGTGCCTGATAGGTGGAATAGACTCTCCCCATAGTGTAGACAGAGAAGAAGCCATAGCTTTTTAAAGTGCAGCACCAAGAAAGGAAATACATAATGGCTACAGAGCTAGGTATCTTTCAGAATCGATTAATGTAGGGTGAAATTAGAGAGAAGATAAACAGCAGCAAGGAGTGAACTTCAGTGGAAGCTGAAGACTTGACAGAAACATCCCAACATTTAGAAGCTTTTGCTACCTGTATCTGAGTTATCTGGGCCTCTTAGCTTTCCAGAATTAGACTGGCCAATCTCACTTCTTAACAGCAGGGGAGAAAAGCAGTCCAAATGTTTCCAAACTTTTTGTTAAAATTTTTTCAAATTTTAAATTTAGGTTTTAGCCAAAAGCCAAATTCACCCCGAAGAGCAAAGCAGAGCTCCAGGCCAGTGATTCCTATATTCTGATTTCATCAGGTTATGAACTCTTCAGACAACTGGACAGTCAGGGACATTCCGGCTACACAGCACCGCCTGATCTTGACTAAACTGGATCCTGGGAGCTTGTATGAAGTGGAGATGGCAGCTTATAACTGTGCCGGGGAGGGGCAGACAGCCATGGTGACATTCAGGACAGGTAAAAGTCAAACCTTTTGCTAGGTATTGGGTGGAACTTCCTGCATAGACTGAGACACCATCTCCTGCCACCTGAGATGGTACGCCATTTTGGAGTTAGCTTTTTCCGCCTTGCATTCTGCCATTGCATTTTATATCACACTTGCTGTGTTTCTCTTCAGCATGTAGAGCCCCCCAGGTCCCTGCTGTGGAAAGACATCTGCCCCCAGATATACTGGGGAAAATGAGTAGGGTGGGAGGCAGACTAAAACATAGATCTGAGTAGCCTTGGGGACTCCATGCCTACTTTTACCTGTGACTGGCTATGTGAGTCAGGCCAAGCCCTTTCTGTTTTCTGTTGTTAGGCCTCGGTGAAATGCAGCTACATAGTAATAATTGCCATCTTCTCAGGTCCAGCTGACAGAGAAAGTATACATTTTTTTCAGAAAGAAATACCATATAGTTTTAATTGGGGGAAAAAACAAGTAATTGTTGGAGATTTGAAAAATGTCGATCAGCTTCACTGCTAGAAGTGCTGTGAAATCATTGGTCTACCTAAGGTGGTAATCACATGATAAACCTTAACATGCCACATATTCAATCAATTTATCATGCAGTGAAATGACAAACCAGTCGCAAAGATGTTCCACATTTAATTTGAACATGTAGCATGTTAGTTTAAAGCATCTGTATAAATTTTCTAGCATGCGGGGAGCTGGAGACCTCAAAGGCCAGGCTCCCAGGGCACTGGCAAGTTTAAAGGAGGGGGTGAGAAGGCCGAGGCTTGAGAGGAGCTCCTCGCACATTGGCATATTTAGAAAGTGCACAAGGAGTGGCTGAGAATTTCCCATTGTCCCACAGAGTGGTGAGAAAGACACCCCTGGCTGTAACACTTTGCTTTGCAGCCATGGCACTGACGCTGCTTCTTTCTTGTCTAGGTCGACGACCAAAACCCGAGATTGTCGCCAGTAAAGAGCAGCAGGTCCAGAGAGATGACCCAGGCACGAGCACGCAGAGCAGCAACCAAGCAGATAACAGCCGGCTGTCTCGTAAGGCTCTGCCCAAGTGGGATGGGAAGTCAGGGTGGGGATTGCCATCTCTGTTCCAGGAATCTGAGGCCAGCCAGTGTTGGGATGAGAGCGAGTCATAGGGCAAGGCTTAACGTTGCTAAGCTTAACTTTGTGGGTCCTAGTGCATAACGAGGCTTGCTCGGTCCATTTAGTGCCAGTTGTAGAGGCAGTTTTGTGCAGGAAGGGGCACAGGCTATTCACTGCTTTAGGACATCTTCAGTCTGAGCCCGAACCCAACCAGGCTGGTCCTGTTCATTGTATCTCATATCCTGTTTGACATGCATGCCAGTAAACAATTCTATTACACTTCCTGTGAAGAACTCTCTTGACTTTGTAGCTCCCAGTTGCTTCCATCCTTTCAGTTCCCCTTCCCTCCCTCCTTTTCTCTTTCCATTTCCTTCATATCTGGGTCCATCATTTCCTCCCATTCTTAGTAGTTTTTCCTTCAAAGTTATGTCTACACAGTTTATAATGTTTAGAACTCCTTATAATGTTTAGAACTCCTTCTAAACTCCTTCTTATTCTCCTTTGCGTTCTTTCAGTCTCTTCTTTCCCTTCTTTCCAATATCAGCCTCTTCCATCTGTTTTTCATCATCACCCACACAGCCCCATAACCACTGCCTCCACATCAGTCAAGCCTTTTCTCTACATAGACATCCCTTGAAAACCAGTGATTTTTTTAGATAAAGAAATGGTTTGAAGATAGTGAGTGAGGGGGCTGTGTGGGTGATAAGGAAGAAAAAATGGGAGAGACTGGTATAGCTTCTACTCTGATACACTCATGTATGCATGGACACACATGTGCACATGCACACAGTTGCATGCACACCCTTCTCCCCATATGCTTCACCCATCCTAGTACCCTTCTTTTTCACCCCAAACCCTTTGGCTTAGACACATGATACATTTATACCAGTATAAAAAGGAGTAGATATATACCTTGCAACCCTAAAGCAATGCAACTTTCCTAAAGCTGATCTAGAAGTACCCTGAGAGAAAAGCAGGGGTAAAGCTGAAGCAGCATATGTTACATTTGTGTGTGTGTGTTTGCTGCTTACCTCGGGGTAGTTGCTGCTTACAGGCAACAGGTAATCTCCCACCTAAGTTTACTTTAGACAAGGAAAGGGTAGTGTTGCTCCTTCAGGCACAGAGAGAGAGAGACAGGTTGTTCTGATGTGCTGCCTTGCTCCTCACAGCTCCGGAGGCACCAGACCGTCCCACTATATCCATGGCATCAGAGACATCTGTCTACGTGACCTGGATCCCCCGTGGAAATGGAGGTTTCCCCATCCAGTCATTCCGAGTGGAGTACAAGAAACTGAAGAAGCCTGGAGACTGGGTGCTGGCCACCAATGACATCCCTCCCTCTCGCCTCTCAGTGGAGATCACAGGCCTGGAGAAAGGTAGGACATGTTCTCATCCCCCACCCAGAGGTGTGTAATGAGCTCCTTCGGTGTCCAGGGTAGAAGGAGCGGGGGAGTATACCAGAGAGGAATGCGTTACCTGCCACTGCTGTCTGCAGAGTGAAGGCTGTTGCTGCTGCTAACTGTGACTAGAAAGACCGGTGGCTCAGACAGCAGCAGCCCCTTGGCTGAGTTCCCTTGGAACCATCCCCAGTGCCTCATTTGCTCCCCCTTGCCTCCCCACATATGTTACTAGGTGTAGAGCTGCAGCTGCTGTGGTAAAGAAGCCCTGGGGGTGTGGAGAGCACAATTCTGCTCTGCCCCCTCTCTCTCCCCCAGATACACTGCTGGGTGTGACACTGCCCTGCCCAGCTCCTATGGTTGGGTAGGGGCAGTGCAGGGCAGTGTGTGCCATCACAAAGATTCCCAGATTCTCTAATGCCCCCTCAGTAGTCAGCAGCCAGGGCTGGTGCCCTGCTCACCCTGCCCTAGTTATTAAACTGCCCCCACCAGCTGCTGAGGACCATGGGGAATGACCATAGAGAATTGCTACTTTTATGGTGGGTTGCCATCTGTTATGGCATGCATAGTACTGCTGTGTTTAAGCACCTTCATCAAGCAAGAGGAATCCCAGCAGCCAGCCTGGTGAGATCTGCCAGATAGGCAGGGCTATGGGCTTCCTTGAGAGGGTGCACAACTTCCTTTTATCATTTCCTGTTGAGATGGTGAAATTTCACAGCACTGACCTGTGAGTCATCCAGCCAGGCCCCCCAGGAGAAAAGAAGTGGCCTGAGTTTGGGACACAGCAGAAATCAGCCAACTCCTTTGTTTTTGGTGCAAAAGGGAAGCAGTACCCTCTCTGCATTGCGTCTCAGTGCTCGGGTTTCTGGAAGAGATGTAAGCTTTTCCTAATTTGGCTGTTGTGATGGCTACAGTCTTCTCTCATTTCCATCTCTCCCACCAGGCACCTCCTATAAGTTCCGTGTTCGGGCTCTGAACATACTGGGGGAGAGTGAACCCAGTGCTGCCTCTAGGCCCTATGTGGTGTCAGGCTTCAGTAACCGTGTGTATGAACGCCCCGTTGCCGGACCTTACATCACCTTTACCGATGCCATCAATGAGACCACCATCATGCTGAAGTGGATGGTAAGAGCGTGGATCTGGGTCTACAGATGGGGAGGGATGAGTGAGTGTTGGGTGGTTGGCAAGATAAACCCCCAGGTTTCCCTTCTGGAACCTGTCACCCTCTTGGCTTGGCCTTTGATACTGGCCATTCTCTCCAGCCAGCCAGGGCCAGGCCTCGTCAGTGCCTGGGTGGGGAAGCTTGATGGGTCTAGGAATCTCTGTTGGAGATTTATTGAACAAGTCTCTGTCCTCTGTGCCAGCAGTCACCCTAGTGGTCTATCTTGGTGGTTGGGGCACTGTATGGCTGGATGTGCCAACTTCCAGGTGGGGTATGAAGCTGGGGCCTTGGCCATTTATAAGAGAAATGGGTGGTTAATCTTGCTGTTCTAGCCAGATTCTTGTGAGAGTAGCTAGCATCACTTTACATTTCCATGTGGTTTCCATCAGACATTGTCCCTCTTTACTTCCTGTCCTAATCTGTTGGGAAGCAAAGTGGGGGAGGTGTTGGTGACATTTTATTGGACCAACTGTATGTGTGTATCATTGGGAGATGTTTCTCTGAACGATCCAGTTGGTCCAGTAAAAGATAGCACCAAAAAAAACCCTTAATTTTCCTGGAGTGTCAAAGCTACAGTAATATTCCAGCCCTACTAACCTGTTAGGTATTGTTGCTAACTAGTAGCCACACCCTACCCCTTGGGGGATTCTGTTTAGTGCCTTCTGGGAACCTCCAAGGCCAAGATGCAGTTGGAAGAGCCATAGTTTATTAATGTGGAAATATTACTGAGGGCCAAGGATGACAGGTCTTTGTGCTTCTGTCATCTTAAAGAGACAGAGACACTCATCCCAGGTAGCGTCCTCTCGCCATGTTCCTTGTGGAGAATTTGCACTGCCAGCTGCTTGTTCTTTAAACAGAGGGGCTATAGCTCGTGGATGGTGAGGGTGTGAAGGCAGAATCTCTGTGGTAAAACACTTTTAGGAAAAATGAAGTCAATGGCCAGTGAGTGGGGTGAGGGATGGGGGGTGGATATCTCCTGTAGGTGGTTAGTGACCACCAGTTCTTCACAGCTTGGCCAGAATGCTTAGACTTAGCAAGATTTGGGTAAATGGCACAAGGTCCCGTGTTTGACCAGTTGCATCCACTGTTGGAGCAGCAGTACACATCATTTACCTTCCCTGGAATCATTATCAGTCAAATATGGGGGGCAATGTACTGAACACTTGACTGGATGTACCAATGGACTGACTCATGACAAATTCAACCCTGTGGCATCACAGCTGTTTTGTAGTTCTTGGGGAAGGGCACAAAAGATCCCAAGGTAATAGAGGGGTCTCCAGGCTCTTACAGAAGCCGCTAGAATATTATACAACAGCAGCATGGGCAAGAAGAGGCATCCCTGCAACCTTTTTCCAGTAACAGGCAGTTTAGCAACACAGATACCTCTGCTAATTGTTGCTTTCTGGTTCTCTGTAGTACATCCCAGCCAGTAACAACAACACCCCGATCCACGGCTTTTACATCTACTACCGCCCCACTGACAGTGACAACGACAGTGACTACAAGAAGGACGTAGTGGAAGGTGAGACTGGCCCCAGCTGTCACTCGAGGGGTTGTTTTCTTCCCACTGAGAACGTCATCTGGCAGGAGGGAGCTGCTCTGGAAGGGGTGCCAGGTTATAGCAAAGCTTAGAAACAAAGTTCATTCTTGGGAAAGCCAAGATTTCTTTGGGCATGGCAAGGTAACGTGGGGATGGGAAGCTGCATCCAGTACACCTCTGCCTTAGCCAGCAGCCTTAGTGTGGAGATGCACTGCTCTGTATTTGCCAGTTCCCCAGGCCAGAGAAGATGCAGCTGGCCCTTGCAGTGACCAGCAGAGGGAGCACTTATGCAGGAGGTTGAACTAGATGAGTGGAGGCCTGCCTTTATGACATGCGTTCCACATGCCACTCCAGTCCCCTTCCCCACCCCATCTGCTGCTCTGCTTTCTTCCGTCTGTCTCTGATCTCAGGTCACTCTCCAATCTGCCACATGCCACACACAGAGGCTGCCCATACCACTTGTGCACACATACCGTGGGTTGGCTACCTCTGGACTAGATGACCCTTATGATCCCTTCTAACTATTGCTTTGTAACGAAGCCATCTGCATTCCATCTCCAGGTGATCGGTACTGGCACTCCATCAGCCACTTGCAGCCAGAGACCTCGTACGACATTAAGATGCAGTGCTTCAATGAGGGTGGTGAAAGTGAATTCAGCAATGTGATGATTTGTGAAACCAAAGGTAAGCAGTTGTGCTGGGTGGGGAGGCAGTCCCTGCCTAGAAGAACTTACGGCCTATGTAACAGCTGAGGGATGAATGACAGGCAGACATGGATGGAGATGAGGCAAGGCTTGCACTGATTCCATCCCAATGTTCAGCTCTAGGAGGGGCCCTCTTGATGGTCACAGCCCCAATATGCTACAGGCTATAGGCCGCAGGGCTCTTGAAAAGATGGACTGGCTCAGTCTGGTGGCTGAACGATATATTTTGGATCAGCTTTAAATTAAAATAGCTTGTTTTTCCTCATTGAACCAAAAAACCTATCAGGCTCTCCCCCTCCTCAGTGTTGTTTCTGGTTGTTCCAAAACATTTTGTTCAGCCCAAAGTAAATGTTATGGGTTTGGTTTATTTATCCCTTTAAAAAAATGTCACTTTGAAAAGAAAAATCCCAATGGGTTTGATTTTTTTTTTTAAGATGGGAAAATAAAATATTTAGACATTTTCCTCTTTTCTTTTCCTTTCCAAATTTTTGTTTGGACCTAAATTTGTGTTTGGGTTTTTTTTTGGTTTTTTTTAATGAGTTTCCAGGTCACTGAAAAAATTCTGCTCCCCTATAGTGCACACTTGTGGGGAGGTACAACCCCTGCTCCCACAGTCTGTTCAACGCTGGTCAAAGCCAAGAAATAGCAGGCAAACGAGACACAGACATACCTTGTTTGGCTGTGCAAAAGTACTTGGAGAAGTAATAATAGTGTGGTGTGTGACCAGGGTGAGTTAGATCAGTTGAAGTGGGCCCCTTGGAGGAAAGACACTTTTAGTAGGCTTTAAATTGAAGAGAGGGTAGAGGCTGAACAGAGTAGTGGCTGAGGACACTGGAAAGCAGCCCGCACTGATGTGTATGAGAAGATCTGATAAAATTGGTGGCAGAGCCAGTGTCATCTGTGCAGCAGAGGAAACAACTGGGCAGTGCAATAAAAGAAGAAAACTGGCTGACTAGGGAAGGATGGAGATGGGTAGGTGAAGACAAAACCATCTCAACTAGGCATCGTGGAGAAGATGGGGACAATGGAGGGATTCAGTGCAGTTCAATGTGTGAGAGAGAGGATTTTAGCTGTCTCGCTATGGATGGACTGATGGGGGCAGCATCAGTGTCAGGGAGACTAACATGATGTGGAGGGGAGAAATTGTTCTCCGGATAGATTGAAGTGGCTGGCCTTTCCAAGGGTTCTCCTAGGAGAAACAGCAGCCTAGGTATGTGAGGTGAGAGAGCGAGCTGAGCAGTCAAAAGTGACTCCCGGAGTCTGAGTGACAGGGATGGGAGGGCTGGTGTCAGTATCAACACAGACTGTAGGGAGAGTTTGTTTTGGACACATTTGCTGTGAGTTGACAGTGAACATATTGGAGAGGAGATGTTGGACAGATTGGTGTAATGTGGCACTAGATGGAAGGAAATAATTTAGGAATAGAAAGTGACATTTATGACCCATCTATAGAGAGAGTAGGTAGAGCCATGTGAGTGGATCATATTACTAAGGGAAAGGGTGCAGATGAAGAGACTGGCCAGTGACAGCCCTGTGGGATACTCCTGCCCTCCCAGAGACTATTCATTATCTCTAGTCTTCTTTACCTCTCCCCTACTGTTCTTGCTGGATGCAAGGGTCCCCTTCACTTCCTATCCTAAATTGTTGTGTATGTGTGTGGGTGATGGCAAACTGCTGCCATTTTCATGACAAAGTGATTCTAATTACTTGTATATGAGGATTATAATTATCACTGATATATAATATGACAATTAGTCCACTGCCACCTGTGTGGGCTCAGGCAGCTGATGGTTCTGGGAGCCATACACAGAGGATATGTCTACATTGCAGGGCAGCATAGCAATACCCCAGATGGCTTTACACAGGCTAACTCGTGTCATGGAAGCTACCCAATGTTCACAGCACAGAATTCCCACCGGCTAATTTACCCTGGATCTCAGTGAATTAGCCCACACAGTTGTATGCTACAACAGCTGGACTATGTGTGGTCCTGTGCTAGCTCTGGTGTCTCTACATTGCCCTGCAGTGTGTGCAGCACAGACAGACATACCCTCCCATGTAGCTGCCCTTTGTCACTGGGTGATGCATCTCTTTTTAACCCTGTCTCTTCCTCTTGCAGCTCGTAAGTCTCTTGGGCTGCCCGGTCGCCTGCCACCCCCAACAGTGCCCCCACAGCAGCGCCCACCAGTCGGCAGTGGGCAAAGTGGCCTGGGGACAGGGGCCATGGTGGCCCGCTCCAGCGACCTGCCGTACCTGATTGTAGGGGTAGTGCTGGGCTCCATCGTCCTCATCATCGTGGCCTTTATCCCCTTCTGCCTTTGGAGAGCCTGGTCCAAACAGAGTAAGTGGCTTTGTTCTTAAAGGTGCAGCTGAGGGCTGGTTTATCAGACCCACTGTAGCTGAGAGGATCCAGGGCGTGTTGGAAGTCAAAGTCTCACTGTGCTGGGCAGCTCCATGCTGGGTGTATGGGAGATCCACTCCCTGTCCAGCTTGTAACACCAAGAGGCAGCCCTGGACTTGGAAAACAATCAGAAAACCACAACCCCTACTCCATCAGACAGGTCCCATCCCTTCCCTGCAGGGTCATTTACATCTATTGCAGTGGAGGGGGTGGGCAATTTAGCAGATGTTTGAGCCTGGTGTATCCCAACGCATCTTCCCAACAGCCAGCAGCCTCCCCTTTCCCAACCTTACGTGCTCCTTCCTTCTTCTCCCTTTTCAGAGCAGACCATAGACATGGGCTTCCCTGGAGCTGGGCTGTTGGTGTCTTCCTGCCAATATACCATGGTGCCCCTGCGAGGGGTCTCTGCTCCTCGAGCCAATGGGCAGCCCTATGCCAATGGGGTGCACCTGAATGGCAGCTATCCCTCAGCAGGGATAGGCTACCCAAGCACAAAGCCCCGGGACTACTGTCCGGATGAAGTTCAGCCGGTAAGGTCTCACTCTCACACCCAGCTTGACAAGGGACATAAGCAAAATGCTGGGTGGATGTTTTAGTCAGGCAGCCTCTGGCCCTGGTCAGCCCCTTCCATGGGATTTCTGTGTTCAGACACCCCCTTTCTCTGGCACTGGTGTGGAAGGGGAACAGTTTACCAGACTCACTCATCCCACGCTTCAGCCAAGTGAATGGAGGCAGTGTGTGTGAGGGGAAATCTTTTTCCAGTTAACTATGGAGAAAGGGACTGTGCGCCTGGGTCCTGGAAGGAAGAGAGCAGGGAAGCTGCTCCTAGGTGCAGTGAGGAGATAGAGCAGCTCCTTGGCAGACTGGCTGAGGAGAGGGAGTGAGGGGCCCTTGCATCTCAGTGAAGAACGTTCCTTCCTTGCTGCTGGGGAAGGGTGTGCTGGGATTTTACAGGGGACCCCATCATTCTCCTGGGAACACAAATCTAGGTAGCAATTTAACTGTTCTAATGCAGTCATCAAGGGCTGTTACCATGTTTAGCTGGAAATGAGTTTGCTAGTACTCATTCCACTTCCCAACAGGCACTCTGGCCTCTCCAGTACGAAGTGCAGGTCATCTCTGCTTCCCCTCTTTCTGATCCGCTATGCTGACCCCACTCCACAGTCCCATAGCACTAGCTTTGGTTTCTCCATCCCCTAACCCTGGCTTGCATTCTTGCTCTTCTAAGATGTTCCTCCCTCTCTCATTTCAACCACAGGATGAGACCAACACCTTGCTGCAGGAAAGGGTGATGCAAAATGGCAACCTCCAGCAAGATTATCAGAGCTCCAGGTAAGCCCTGGCTCATGGGGCTTGGACTTGGGTAGTGCAGTAATAATACAAGGACTTGTGGGACTTAGGAAAAAGATCTGCTAGGTTGGCTTATGTGCCCTGAAGAGTCATTCCCTGTTTACTTGTGCTCCAAAGCTTTGTCCAACCCTGTTTAAAAATTTTAAGTAATGAGGCTTCCCCATCCAGTTCTCTTGGGAGACTAGTCTACGTCCTAACAGATGTTGCTGCTAGAACTGTTCCAGGTTTCATCTTCTTTTAATTTATCTCCCACCTCTGAGGATGTTAGGGCAGCATAGGCCTCAGTCTGAAGAAGACCTGTCTCCCTTTCTTCCCCTTTTCATGTTCCAGCCGGGGTTGGAGACTTGGGTTGGACCAGAGGATTACTGTTGATGCTACTGATACAAAGCCACCCTTGAGAATCTCCCATCTGTCCAGACCTAGAATGGAAACAGATGTCACCTTTGTGCTGTCATAAACATTTTTATGGTGGCACAAAGTGACAGCAAATAGGTGTTCCTCCCTTCTGTCACACCATGACAAAATGTAATAAATTGTGCTGCTGTATTGCAGTGTACATATATTTGCTTTATGGCAGGGACCATGGGCAACTGGAGCTTGAATGGGAACTCCTGTACAGGACTGGGCCTCTTAAGCCCTGGGAGTGCCTGTCCCGCTTTCCCCACTTCCAAAGATGTACCTCCAGCCATCTCTGGGGCATGTCTCTGCAAGTGGAAAAAGTTGGGGTTCCTTGCTTTTGGAGACTCATCCCTGACATTGCTGGGGTGCATCTCTGGAAGCAGGGAAAGCTAGGACACTGGTGTGATCCTAGGGCTGATTGGCAGCCCCAGCCCTGGACTGTAGTGGCTTGTCCCAGCTTTCCCCACTTCTAGGGACATGTCTAAGATCTCTGGGGAGTGTATCTGGAAACAGGGAAAGTTGGGGTTCCCCGTTTCCAGAGGCGTGCCTCCAGCAATCTCCAGGGTTTCCCGGAGATTGCTGAGAGATGCATCTCTGAAAGCAGGGACTGCGTTGCCTATTGTCTCACAAGATCGATGGGCTATATGCGTTGCACCCAGTGAAATGGATCAGCTCTGGCAAGTTGCATCTGGCACAGCTGATCCACTTTGCTGGGCAATGTCTATTGCTAGCTCTAGTCTCCTCCTCAGTGCACCTCACTGCAGATTTCATTTCATTGTTTCCATCCTCTCTGGTCCTCTCCCTTCCTGCCATTTCTTCTTACACCCTTATGGAGCAGGCAGGTCCTGAGGACTCCAGGCCCTATATTAAGCCTCAAGCCAGTGGGGAATTTTCCATCAGATTTCCAACAAAAATTCAGTTGCCACAGAATCGGTTTATTGCTGGAAAATGTCCATGTGCTGTGCATATCATAGCTTCCAGGTACCTCAGCTACCAGCCTGATGGGGGATTTGGGCTCCTAGGGCTCCCAAGTCCTCCTGTGTTGGCTGGTGGGAGCCCTAGAAATTCCAGGCTGCCCAGCATTGTACAGCAGAGTCAGGGCAGGGTGCTCTGCCCAGTGATTAAGCAAAGGCACTCCCATTTGGTTCTCCAAAACAGAATTTTTTTGAGATTTTTCCTATTAAAATTCTAACCATTTTTTCCCCTTTAACTGTTTTCTCAACTTGGAACAAAATTACAGATAAACAAAATACCACTTTTTCTCTTTCTGGAAGGCAAACTATTTTCTGGCCTGCTCCAATTAAATTATATTTCCCCATGTGAGAGAGAAGAACAAGGCAGCACTTTTAATGTATCTGAGTCAAATCCTGGGCCTGCCAGCCCTTTAGTACAGAGACCAGGGAGCTGCCTTCTAGCACTATGTGGGGTCTCTCTAGAGAGAGGCTAGGTCATAGAATAAGAGGGTGTGCATCTGACTGTCCTTTTACCTCAGTCCCCATCACACATGCATGTACCACTTTTCCCCTATTTGCGGGCACTCACAGTGTCGTGACACCAGGCTGATACTGTATTTGAGCTCATGGAAGGCAGCACCAGGTGCAGGTCCCCCTTCAAAGGGAAACTTCCTG